TTTTATATATATATATATATATATATATATATATATATATATATATATATGCATATATATATATATATATGTATATATATGTATATGTACATACCGTATACTATATACTATATATTATATATTATATACTACACACTATATACTATACACACACACACACATATGTGGCGCACACAAATATACGCAATCGCACGTATTATCCCACTACTTGCTCTATTCCTGCGTGTAACGACTCAATGGCGCTGCCACACCCTTTCGCCATCGAGTAATCAGTGTTATTGTTTTATAGTTCCACTTTTATTGTTATTCCTCGACACAAAGAGCGTAACGTATCGATTCGGAAAATATTTTAAATACACTGCGACAAGGTGTACACGTATTTAACGAAATAAAACGAGGAGAAATCATGATTCAGCATTAAAATCAGCTACATCGATAATAAAATGAAACGATATACATATAAAGGAATCAATTTGTGCAGTCTACGCCCCTGGATTCTTCATGTTTGGGCTTGGTTTTATAGATAAAACACTATGCACAACTTACTTTGTTTATCTTGAAACAAATTTTTAATTTGCTACTTCACAAATTTGTGAATAAGTTCTACCGTTACTTTCGTCCATTTAATGTAACATTTCTTAATTAATTTTAAGCTGCATTATCACAAGCATTATTGTTAATCCTAACTTGTAAAATAAATAATTAATTTTTTTCGATTCAAAGAATTCGAAGTTAGAAACGAGGGGCGTAAATCCTTATATAAATCCATATTTTTATGAAAAATATAGAATCGAAGCGAAGATTTGTGTTCTGTACACTTGTGTTCTACATCAGTCTATCTATTATATTTTTCTGTATTTTTACGTTTCTGTATTTTTAAATTTCCTATAAAGGTAAAAACATCCACAGATTATGAAATTTCTAATATATTTTAGTTTTCTTTCTCAACCTGCAGCATTTAATTAAAATTTCCACGTCATATATTTTTACAATTCAAGTACGTGTTCATAATTATTACATATTTCCATTCAATATGGTAAAGTTTAGAATTAGTATATGACATATTCAATGAGATATTCAACAAATGATGAAATCTTTCTTACATCAAAATCACGAAAATGTTTAATTTCTCATTAAAGAAGTGAGCTAATTGTAAATGTCGTTTCTTCTTCTTTTTCTTTTTTATCTTGTCTACAAGAATCGTAACAACGACCGTGAAACAATAACGATTATACTCTGATTCATCGTCCCAAGAATCACCTGATTATTACGTTTAATCACCAATTTCTCTAATCCATTGTATCACACATTCGTGATAGGTATTATGTACGTATAAAAGGGAGATGATATAATATATAGATAATGATACATGCTCGATATGTATAATACGTATGTACGCATATGCACGCGAAATAATACAAATGAAACGAGCATTACGTTGGTGCGTGCGTGTATATATATGCAAGTACATGTACGTATTTAGAATATGTCAAACGTTTTTCTGAAATCTCAAGAGATCAGTGGAAAACTTTGTAGCCTGTTTAAGACTCGGTAGATCTCTCATTCTCTCGTGTATTTGCCGCCGCCGCCGCCGCCGCCGCCGCCTCGCTCACCCCCTCCACCCACCCTTCCCTCGCCCCCTCGTCCCGCTTCTTTCTATCTCCTTCAACTCGGTAAAACGGGATTCTTTCCTTCTCTGGTCTGCCGTTCTCCGTACACTTGTGTGTTGGTGGATTGCTTGGCGTCCATGAAGCCTTTTGCGACGTTGCCACGAGTACGCCAGTGATGCATCGTTGCCGGGCTCTTGCACTGTTCCGTTCCTTTTTGCTCGTTCACACGCTCGGTCCATCTCTCTCGCGCCTTCGTATGTGCGCGGCCAGGATCAACCATATACCCTCCTCCGCCAACGGCCGACATCCCTACCCGTAGTATTCACAGCTCCCTCCCCCCGCCTACCGCCCCTGCTCTTCATTTCTCTACTCTTCCCTCTACCCAACCCGTCTCTTCCCTTCTACCCGGCCGCAAAGGCAGCGAGTTTGCTTGTGCCCGATGCAGTGCCGTATACGTTGCTTTCAACGTGCATGCACCTACGTCCCTGAAAGGTGAATTTTATCATTCGGAGGAGAGGAAATTGACACAGTAAATTTTGCGTTATTGCAATATTTCAGGATTTAGGTGCGGTTAGACAACGATGACGGCAACGATTAATAATTTCGAGATGAAAGGACAGTTTCTTTTTACATCTTACTGTCGAACTAATAATGTAATAAGTAATGCAAGCTGTGAAATTTGATGACAATTGTTGGTCTCATCGCAGAGGTCTATGTTTTATTTGAAAATTTCTGTAAAATTGATTGTATGGGAATTTAAGAAGCTTCTGTGTACCTTAAATAAAAAAATTAATTAGGCGAATATTAGATGTTATATTGCAAAACATGGACGTTTCTGTATATATGTACGTGAAAAATTATAATTTATAAAATATATATAATGGAGAAAATTTAATATTAATTGCGTTAATAATCAAAAATGAACGCTTTTGACTGGTTTAGTATAACTACAGCGTCTTCTTTTGTTTGGAACTACAAAATTGTATCTTTTATTTCGAATCGTTTCGAATTGTATCATTTACATCGAGTCATTTTGTGTCAGTTAAGTCTCAAGTACTTTCATAGAATATATTCCGGTCCTTTTTACTTTTATTAAAGATATTTCAAATAAATGTCAAAGTATCGTCTATTTAGTTTATACAAAATAACGAATTTCAAGTGAAAGTGTAGATTAAAGAACGAGCTGCAGCAAAAATTAACGAAAGCTTGGCTTGAAAATCAAACCAAGTAAATAACATAAATAAATTCTTTCAATTGCATTTAATCTGTGGCTAAAAACATACATACACACATACATACACCCAGTAATGTTTCGTGTAAGTGAAATTTTGCACAGATAAAAGTATGTACACACTTACATACCATCCAATTAACACTACCAGTTACCAAAGTGATCAAAATGACTGATTCGTAGTTTCTCGTGGAATCTTTATTGATTTACAATGTATTCTTTGGCATTTGAATTGATTGTGTGATTACATGTGCATACATACACATGTACGTGCACATACACGACCAAAGATTCGAATTTGTAAAATATACAGAAGAAACCTCGTTCGTCTTCTCCTCTTCTCTTCGTATTTGGCGATCTCACAATCTGAAAACGTTGAAAATCCTGCAAACTTACCAATTGTAAAATCATGCCGATATATGTATACACACATCGCCAGATTTCGTTTCTAAACCATCACCTTTAAGTCGCGAAGATCTTTAGGGCTGTATACATGTATGTATGTATCTCTTTTCCCAACATGCCGTTAACGTCTAAAATAAGCCTCTCGCGTCTTCCATTAATCTACCAGGATGAAGAATTCGACCTGTCGCCGTTTGGCCAGGCCGCGATTCAACGGTGTATGACGATGCACGTGAAAATAGCGAGGAAAAGAGGAAAAACGTCTTCATTGGACGCGAGGAGCTGTTCGGGGCGCTGAAAGGGCCAGAATAAAACGGTCCTGAGCTAGCGTAGAGCTCCGTCCCCCGCGACGCTACGTCGTCGGTCGGTTCGGTTGCTCGCTCGTTCTCGTTCGTTTTCTCCCCACTGTGCCGCGCAGCGTCCCCGTCCCCTTGCGACCCCACCTGCCCCTCGCCCAGAAACTCTACCCTCACCCCGCCGCATTCAACTACCCCTCCCCCCCGGGCCTCTCTGTGATTCCGCCTTGCCTGCTGCCAGCCAGCCGTCCGTCCTTACGTCCGTCCGTCCACCGTTTGGGATCTATGGTTGTGTCGGTGGATTTCGTGACGTTAACCTGGCGGCCCTGAAAACGTTGGACTGACCGTACGATTTTCGACTTACCCTTATCGTTCGGGTCGTGAATGTAAAACGCGAGTGTACCGTTTCTTTTTTTCGTTCCAATCACCATAGGCCGTCGCAACTGGAGTTACACGCACGGACTAGTTTCGGGTAAGAGGAGTAGAAATGTGTGTGGTGAAACTAACCGATACGTTCTCTCCGGTCGTGTTGAACGCTCCGCGAAGGAGCGTACCGAAACTCTTAAAACAACCAGTGATCGATGAAAAGAAATGTTGGTGCTGAGGGAAATATTGTCTAAACGTAGTCGCTCAGGTTCTTTTCTTTTTTCTTTCTTTCCTCCTTTCTTTCTTTCTTTCGTGCACGTACGCGCGTACATCCACATACACACATATCCATACGTACACACGTATATACGAACGCCTGTGTGCGCGCGCGTCCTTATACATACACGTCTACGTGATCCTTTTCTTTTATCTTCCTTTCTTCCAACAGTATGCGTAAATACGTATAATTTATCCTTGTTTTTTTTTACATTACGTATATGCTCGAATTTATATACACGTATTTATTTTGATTTCTATTCATGCGCTACATTCTTCCTTCATTATTATTCCCCATTTTTTTTCCTCTTTTCTCTTCACGTTTGCGAAGAGAAAACTGTTCGTTTCTTGGGATAGGACACTGGCTTCTCATCTCGAACCGCGATACTCCGAGTGAATCGTCCACGCGTCGGAAACACCGTCGTGTATACGTGTAACTCTTGCTGAAAGCTTTAACAAAAGATCTTTTCAAAAAATTATCTAGTTCTAACCTCTCCCGATTTGAAATAATAGCTCTCATACATATTACGAATTATTACTCCTATGTAAATCACGAATTCTATACTAATCATTTGTATTGCAAAGTACATTCTAATCCTTCATTCATCTTCCTTTTATCAATGCCTCTTTTCACATATATATTCTGTTTATTTTTCGTGTAAGGATAAACAAGGGGATAAATAGAGAAAAAGAGAGAGACACCGAATACATGCCTACACCTGTTTCCAAGCCCAAATGGTTATATCAGTGGTATATTACGAAGTGTACAACAGTGAAATCTATGCATTCTGATAGCTGATTGTAGCTGAGAACGATTCCGTGTGCAATGTGTGCTGGTGGCCCGTGTACATTACTACGATCGTAATATTCATCAGCAACGTTTGAAGTGCGTTCTAATCGGTCGTTCTCATCGATTCGTTTTATCCGTGTCGTGATAGTTTTATTTGTCCTCACTTGTTCCTCGGCCCTGCGGGCACAGTTACACACGTTCGTCCTCTCTTCGTGTTTCTTCTCTCGCGATTCCTCGAATGTGTCCTGTTCATCGTTCACGCGTATTTCAAATCTCTGTGCCCTGAGATTATCAAGAACAACGTATTTATGTGGTGCTCCATGGTGTTTCCAAGTTATCGACCGAGTGTGTTGCCTCAGCTATTTCCTGGCTATTACTTGCGTATTTAAATTCGCGTGTTCGTGTGTCCCTTTTCGTTTACGGCGACGATTTTTTTTATCTCCTTTCTTTCTTTCTTTAAAGGTGTCGTCTCGACGGACTTCTGCGCGCTCTTGGCGATACACGATATGTTTCGCAACGCGAGTGTTTCCTCGCGAAGTTCTTTTTCCATCGGTGCACGGAGAATCGACGGTTTTATAATGGTGTCCCCGGAGCAGTGGTGAGAGTGCTGGAGAGTATTCAAGATCCTGAAATAGCGAATCTAATAATAGGCAGATATCTTATTCCGACCACTTTTCGTGTGAACTTGAAGAGATAACAACGTGCAGCGTGTGATTAATTAACGAAGCAAAATCGTACGTATGTTACATAATTGTTACATGTCCAAAACACGAAAATATAAAAAAAGAGAAAAAAAATATGTTGTCGGTATTCGTGAGTAGCAGACGGAATTGTATTACGATCCACCCCTTCCTTTCTGACGATTCTCATAGACCATGCCGTGAAAACGTTCATTGCCTGGGGAACGGGCGATCTCTCACGATCGCAACTGTTGAACCAATGGTGACGTGTCGCCGTTCTTTTATATTATATCAATCTTTGTTTTCCTTAGCTCGTATCTTCCCTCGCGAACGACCAATATTACGCTTCGAAATCGTACTGTGTGAATCACGATGCTCGAATCGAACGGTGCGAATGAATCCTTTTCGATTCGAATTACACGCACTTTTGATTTAAAGGAGCGTTTCTAAATGCTCGGACGGGCGGCTACGTTTCCCTGCGTTTTCATCGTTGCGTGCACAGGTGTTAGGAAAATATACGTAGGGACTATCTCGAACGATTCTTCGCTTTGCTACGCTCCTGCTACACTCCTTTTGTTGAATGTTAGTGACATTTAGGCTTGCCTCTATTTTTAAACAGATTCAAGTTGAAGACTTTCCGCTGGACGTGGAAACGTCGATTTCTCTCAATCCGATCCGAACATTGAAATTGGTCGGATTCGTTTGCTGACGGTGCTCCAAGGAATTTTCAACGGTCATTCGCAAATTGTGTGAAAAATCACGCCTGAGAACGTCTATCTAATTTCGAGTACACGCCTACTGTTATATAAGTGAGCCATGCGAGAATCGAGTACCTTTATCAGTTATCTGCAAAGTACTTTGATCGGTTAAAACGGCTCGATGCTGCGGTATTGATATTTCAATAAATACTCGCCTTGAATTTTCCAAGTACTCGCTGTGCAATAAGCGTGTTGTTTACATTACACTCTTGTTAACAATTAATTCCATTTTCTCGGATTTCTTCCTTTTTTTCTCGCATTTCTTTCGCTTTGCGTTATTCTTTCACATTGGATTCGGTAACAACGGAATTATAAAAATTTTGCACTTTTGAAGTTTCGAATACATAGTGGAATATGCAGTAGAATTTCCTACAAGTTGTTTTTTTTTTCCGTCGGGAAAAATTGTCTGACGTTTTATGAATAAGATTAATTAATGCTCATTACGAAAGATCTCGCAGAAATTTAAAGTACTAAGCGTCGAATTTCTTCGGATTTTAATCTTACGATTCTGGTTATATAAATCATCTCTTTTGGAATTTTTTTTTTTTTTTTTAAGTGACTAGAAAGATTGAAAGCACGATCGTGTTTTTTTTTTTGTCTGTAGCGACTGTTTGATTTCAATTTTTCGAAAATTCGATTATCAAACTATTATGATTTTTACGATTTTCTAAACGGAATACTTCAATCTCTGCGAATTTTTGGATCGTGGCTTTAATTTAATTTCAATTTCGCTCAAGATATAATTCTATTATATTTATTTTTTACGATTCTCAAACACAAAGATGGAGTAGAGTAGGATTCTCTTTCGGTTTTTCGTTATTTATTGCTGGTGCAACACGCGATTTTTTGCTTATATTATATTAAATCGTATGGTATATGATTTTAACTTGAATTTCTTGCACTTCTGCGTTGGCACATTTTATCATTCACACGTTACGGTTTTACTTTTGCATTTGACCAATAATGGATAATTCTTATTCGATCAAGTCAGATAAAACAATTACTTTGAAATTACTTTTGTTTTCACCTCAATTATTACGCGGTCATTCTTTTTACTTTAATTACATATTTATTACATATTTAAAATATTTGTTTCATATTTACATTTCGCCTTGATCGTTTTCTTCTATCACTACTGTATGATAGTAATGTGTGTAATAATATCTATTACAAATACGTAAATCTGAAATACGTAAAATTTGTATTTTTTACGAAAATTGAAAACAAATTGCGTAAATTTAAAGTTTCTTATTGCCCTCGTAAAAAAATTGTCAACTATTTTTTCATATCTGTGATAATATTTGTGAGTCATTCGCTTATGTTTTTCCAGGTTTTGTATTATTTCAAAGTTGTCTAGTTTCAATTTTTCACAGAATATTAAAAGAAACATAATATTTAAAATATTGTGAAAAAAATAATGCATCGTCGCTACTTATCCTGCTTCGAATCGAATTTATGGAATGTTATAAATATTCATCCCTGAAGTATATTCAATAACATTTTGTTGGTACATTTCGTTCAATTTGTCAAAAATCTAAAATACAAATGTTTAATTACATGTATATCGTAATTTTTTAAAATTCGCGAAAAAAAATATTACGCTGCTTTATATTTACATTTAGTCACAAAAGTTAAAATTTATTATATCTAATTAACTGTATTTTAAATGTAATATATTAAAAAAAAAGCTAGAACGACAATCTAAATTTAAATACGAAGGTTACTGAGAACTTGAAAAATTCATTTACTAGTTTAAAAATATGAATCATATTTTTCTCGTCTACACGTGAGGAGTGTACTATGACTCTCTCTTTGTTACATAAAACATATCAATGAATCATGATAAATCAGAAAATCAAGATGCATAAGGAAAATTGTCGTTTTTATTTTACTTTTAGCATTCGAAAAGAAGCAAAAAATATTTATATCGGAGTTCATGCATTTGTATTATTTTCATGATTCATCTTGTACGCAGAAAGTTTTACAATGTATATTTCATTTAAAATGTATATTATTGCAAATGTATGTCATTTAAATTGTATATAAAGTATGATTTATCTTAATGTACCATATTGAACTGTACAGTTTTTAGGATTACATCTTTTAATGGTGCTTGTGACTTTTTTCTGTATTGTATAAATAACACTGAACACTTATATATAGAATTTATTTTTATTAGAATACATAGAAATTATTTATATGCATACAAAAATACAAATAAACGGATAGATTTTGAAATGAATTTGCGCAATATGTGCAAAATGTGCGATTGTTTGTCTGTGCATTGCATATTGTCTTGTAGACGTTGAAAAATCTGTTAAAGGAAAATTCTAGTCAAATTCTCTTGCCTTGACAAACACAATGACTGATTTTCAAATGCACGTTTCAGCCGTATTCTCGTTGCAAACGTAATTGAAAAGTGACGAGATAATCTATAGGTCGCTACGAAAAAGTAAAAGTAACAAAATATTATCTACCTATGTAGCGTTTAAAATAACATTCAAACAGCGAAATTAGGCATTCCTAAAAGTAAATCTGACAAATTTTTGAACAAACATACAAATCTGTACTTTGATCGCGCAATTTTCACGATTTCTATTGATATAACTTTTTCATCGTGCGACTTGCATGTCATTCTGATTTCATGTTTAACGTAAAGTTAAAAATTTCATTTTATAGAAGTTTCGTCTGCACTTTCGTATTCCTCTGATTTTGAAAAAAGATGATTCGGCGGGATATCTTCCAGTATGATGGCCGACGTAATTAGAGAAAGACGCATCGGGACGAGCAAGAGTCTCACAGAAGCAAAATGCAGTTCTTTTCGTTGGTATGATCTATCACTTCGCACTCGCCCTTTTTACGCGTTGACGCGCTACAAAAGTACAGTCTTCTAGTTCGGTTTGATTCGACTCTTCTCGGTTCGACTCGGCTCGACTTTGAGTCACAACGACTGCGGAGCTATCGACCGTTCTAGGTTTAGCAAGATAATAATAATTCGGATGGAATGTATTCAGCGCGCGCGCGGGAATAGAATGAATTCTTGTGCGCTTTACACGTTGCTGTATTGGTTATTATTAGTTTTAATACTAACGAGAAAAAAAAAAAAAAAAAAACGATGTTTTAACGTCGGGTTATTTCTGGTGACTTTTTATTTGTCACCAGATCTGCCGTGCCCGGCACGAAGCGTACCAGCTTTTTCCAGCGAAAATCGGTTAGGTTCTATACTCTATGAGCATTGGGAAGAGAGGAATGTTACGTAAACATCGGTTACTTGACACTACGAAAAATTTACTGAAAACAGGCGTAGGAAATACGAAGAAAACAATGCTTTAACATACGTGATAGAAGAGAAACATTGAAATAAAGCAAGTTCACGAAGGTTAATAGATTCAATTGTTTTTTTTTTTTTTTTTTTTTTTTTTACTTATTCATTAAGTATTCCGTCGATAGAAACTGTTTGAAGCGAGATATTAATATCTATGTTGATTACATTTTTACCTTTTACAGCTATAGTATGTAATCATTGCTATAGCAATAGTATTTTTCTTACAAACTTTCTATACCATCTTTTTCTTATTTATACACCGATAGTCTGGCAGAAGAAAAGGAGTGGAATACGCTATATATAATTTCTGCTCATGATAAATTTATCATCAAATTTATTACCATAGTTAACGAATTTATTATCAGAGTTCGAAAGTATAAGCTGGTTTTAACATTTGCCTATAGATTAGTTGTATATAGAGTGGTTTGTTAAAGTTGCGTAACATTTTCGGGGTCGGATGCGATCATTCCTTTTTCTAAGTTCGTATAAAATACAGGCGTTTTGAAAAATTGAGTTTAGGAATATTTTTATTATGTTTCTCGTTTATCCGCGAGATTTTCATCATTATATACCACGTTACGAAAGTGCAGTGATGGCGCGTATTTATGTACGAGTCTGTTCATCCATCTTTTTGGCCAAACGTTGTCCTTTCGCAATCTTTCATAAGTCAAGACTTATAAACGCGCTATCAATACTTTATGAAACAGTTATATCCTTGCGTTGCAAGGTAAAAGACCTCTATTCTTACATTGGATCTATAGGAAGCTTGAACACATTCAAAACAAATTGATATTATCTAATATAATAAATGAAATTTACTGTATCAATGAGAGAATTATCTTCTAGTATGAATATTTTTCTGTACAGCTGATGAAATTTTTATATATAATTCATACGTTGGGAAAGTTATGTGTACTATGAAAGTCGATTATTTCTACTACATTCACAATAACATGTTTTTAATCCGTGCGAAGAAAATTCGATATACACACATTAATTATTATTCTGAAATGACACATTTATTTTATACTGCAGTTAACTGCCTAAGTATTATTTATTTAATAAAATATCGATGGCTACATAAAGGAATTTGGTTTGATGAATTAACTAAATTAGTAAATATTAATTTTTAATTATTAGTTGTTTGAAGACGAACGTTAGAATTATTAAAATTTAAGCAACTCGTACTTTCTGATTTTCTAAAAAACGGCTATGTCGGGGATGTATTCGCGATTATGAGAATAAATCTTCTTTTTCTCTGGTTTGAAGCTTCATCTTTTACGATTAGAGATAAGAGCCCGACAATTCAAAATCTAACTTTTAGCAGAAACTTTCATAAATGTTAGAGTCAGCAAGGTGTGCCAGCGTGTGAAAATGTGTCATTAGGAAATTTTACTTCAAAATATCGTAAATATTCGTGATCAATGAAATAATGTATTCTTTGTAACAAAGAGAAAAAAAAAAGGGAAAGAAAAGTCAATGAATTACGTTTTACTTACAGGAACACTGCCGGGGCCATTGCCGCTGCTGCCATTATCACCACTACAAGAACGAAATGATGTCCAAAAATGAAATATCCCTATACGTCAAGTAACTCGTGCACCAGTTTCAAAGTCATGGTTGAACATTGACAAGAGAGAGAAAGAGAGAGAGAGAGAGAAAGAGAAAGAGACAAAGAAATTACCGATTCGAAAAGCGTAGGAAGATCTGCACCCCAAAATAAAAAAAAAAAAACTAATGGAAACGAAACGAAGGAAATAAAAGAGAAATAATAATTGAGTGGCATGAACTTTCAGAAGAAGAGAGCATCGATTCCGGAGCATCGATTCATGCAATCAGTCGTCGTCGTCAGTTAGTCAGTCGCGCTGAACTGTGTGATATTTCTTGTTCTACCATCTTGAAAGTTATCCGATTTCTTTCTTCTGGGAGCGCGTTGGGTCACGTGTGCCGGAAGCGTGCACGGTGCGTGCATCGTACACGCACTGTGCAGGGGTGTTGCAAAGCGAAGGAACATCGGCTCGACGGTGCAAAGTCAAAATAAAAATAAACGCCAGGATAGTTAGCACGTTGGTAACACAGGATAGAAGAACTGCATGATGAAAGCGAGTTTGACGATAAATTTGTTTTATTGCGGGAGTGATAACGAGTGGTGTAGCAGCAGCAGCTGTAGCGGTGGCAGCAGTAGCAACGAGAATCCCGGAAGAAATACAAATGACACTGGTAACAGTAAGAAAAACGGATATGACAATGATTATTTCAGTGGTTTCGACGATAAATTGCGAGTGGGATACAGTGTGGAGGTTGTTGAGTGTGAGCCACGTGGCAACAGTGATGATGAGATTGTTGAGCCGTTGCGTTTCAGCGAGGTGTGCTCGCACTGATTTGTGAGTGCTAGCAGAGAAAGAGAAAGCGGGAAATAGAGAGATAGAAGCCACCAAGACTCTCGTGGAGAGCGGGGCACTGAAAGATATGCGGACTTTTGTGCGAACAGCTGAACCGGAAGTTGTGAGAACAAGTGGAGTGCAACGTGCTCCGCCTAATCGGTGATAGGGTCAGTCGGTTAAAAGAAGACAAAATTGGCGTTCACAGCGACGGCAACGCGGCATCTCACGATCACCTTTTTCTCATCCCTTCCCTCTTTTTCCTATTTCGTTTTGTTCCACCTCGTTTCTTCTTCTTCCTCTTCTTCTCCACTCTCTTCTAATTCTTCTTCTTTTCTCTCTCTCTCTCTCTCTCTTTCTCTCTCTCTTCTCGGAACTCTTTGACTCGACTCTCACTCGTTTATTTTATATATATATATATTCTCTTTGTGTCGATTATCGAAAAGTCTTGCCTTTTTTTTATTTTTCGACCGAGTAACATTCGTTAAATATGTAAATCGCATAATGGCGACACATGCAATTAAAACGTTGGAAGGATAATGCAAATGAGAATTCGTCGTATAGAAGCCGCGTCGCGTTCCCTCACAATAATGAAGGTATACTTTCCTAAATACATGTATTGACACAATCGGTGTTTAACATTCGCATGGCTGTCGCTGGATCTTTTTAGGCCCCTTGCCTCACGATTCTATTATTCATGTTCTAAATGTAATTGTATTATAATTTTTTGAATGTTAGGAGATAATTTTGAAGAAAAGAAAAGTCGAAGGAAACTGAATATTTTCAAATCTGTAACGATTAATTCATATTTAGTTGAATAAAACATCGAGTTAACGTCAACGAGAATCATCAAATTGTCGAAGTCATACTGACTCTTTTCTATCTTGCATTGATTTCAATCTTTCACTATTCGAAATGGAGATGAAACTTTCTTACCATACTTCGTACAAAATTCAAAAAGAAAGTAAATGAGAAAAGTTGGTTCCTAGGTTTGAAGAGACTTTATCGATGGCCGTGCGGGTATTAAATCACGCGATCTGTTCCTTCGATACGTGTATCGTGTACGAATCGTAGAAAAAAAAAATCATTGCATGTTTTAATATGTGAATAGCGATTGTGAGGTTTTTTTTTTTTAAATATTTCTGGCATATTTAGAAAAAAATGTATATTGAAAAATATGAAAGATCTTTTGAAAAAGTTTTAGTAAGAATGTATGTTAAAACTTACGTATTCCAATTTTGCAGTTGCAATTAATCTTAGCTTCTGCAGCTTCTCACTTGTTTATTATTACAAAATTTATCAAGCTGAGAGAAAATGTAATATAAACTCGAAAAATCTTAGTAATAATACAATTTTATCAAAAAATTTTTATATTTTCAAATTTTTCATAATCCTGACAGTCGACGTTCTCTGCTTCAATCTCGTAGGACTGTAGATAACTAAAAATTCGGCACAAAAATCGCAATCGTGTGTATCGATGCGCGCGCATGTCCTTTCATATATGTATTCAGCTCGGCGGGAAGATTTAAACAGCAGACAACTAATTTGATACTTCTCCAATTGTTATCTACAGAAATCGTCGCTGGAGCAACAGCGTAAGAAAGAAGTTTGAAAAATTCGTCAAGTTGTGTACGAAACCGAGTGTTGTGGAACGCATGAAAGTGTACGTAAGCTAGCAGGAAGAGGAAGAGAGAGAAACGAAAACAGAAAAAAGAAAAAAAGAAAGAAACGAAAGAAAAGAAGAAAAAAAGAAAACAACAAAACAGAAAAAGAACCAACAACGAAGAGATGAAGAGAAGACAGTGTGAGTAGCAGTGGAAACGAGAGGGCAATGATAAAGAAAAAGAAAGGATCTACAAAGGAAATAGCTTAGTGAGAGAAGAGAAACAAAAAGTTCGCGCAACGTACAGTATAATGTGGAGTAGCGTGTTTCGCAAAAGTTTTTAAAAAGTCGATATAGAATTTATAAATAGATCGGTTGGTATACTTACATATGTGCACGCGTACGCATGTGTGCGTGATTACGCGCGCACATGTACGTGATTTTCACTCGAGACTGAAGCGGTGAATTATTCTCGCACGGATCGACTACTCGTGGGGGAAATTCGAGATCCGGCTTACCTTCCATAGCTGACGTCATTACCGGTAAGTTGTTTTTCCGTTACCAGTAGTCTTGTACCTTTCCGCCGCGTAAAAAAAATCCTTTTCCTCTGTTTTTGTAATGTCTTTCTTATTTTTTTTTTTTTTCCTCCATATTTCCAACTTTCCTTTTGAAGGGCGAATATTTTTCAGCTTTTGCAATTGAAAATCGAAGCATCAGCTTTTAATAAGATTGTTAACTACTGTTAGTTGTATTTGTATAAACAATTTACATATGCTTCGAAAGAAAGTCGCCATATTTAAAATAATATTGTCAATAACATCGTTTCTACTTTTCGATAGAGTGAAATATTTCGAAACAAAGATTATCACTTTTGATAATCATTATTTTGATCATATCATATTGTATTTCGCATTATATATATATTTTTTTATATGATATTAGGGAAGTTATTTTCAATTACTGATAAATTGACGAAGGTTAAAAGCCGAAGATACGCAGGAAGGAAGCGTATTGCAAAGGAAGCGAAAGCGTCGGATATTTTCTAAATTTGAGCATTTGAACGCGTTACACATCGTGTTGATTTTATGTCTTCTCGTTAATGCTGCGTAGATTACTGATGACCCACGTTGATGATCTTATTATGCAGCATGTATTCTATGCTAGAAGCACGTACTTCATAATGCTCATGAAATTATGAACACGGTTATTATTGTGAAGAAGCAGTAGGAATGATGTACCAATCTATACGTACCCAAATCAAATATGTAATTCCCTTAATTTTTGACTTTACAAAATTGCATTATAATAAATTCTCTTTGCACTTTGATGTTTAAACAAAATATATTGATTAGATCAGTTTTGCAAATTGTATATAACATGACAATCCATTTTTTCGACTAATGACTATTCAGAATGATTATTCGTTTCTTACACTTCCACGATATACTTGACACTTAATAAATAATAGATAATTGGTTATGAAACTGATAAAAAAAAAAAATTACTGAATATGACCGAACTAAATATTACTATATATATATATATGACAAAATGGTATTTCATAATCTTTGTTAAAGATCTATGTGATGAAAATAATTAGGAAATTTCTATTCTAGAATAATAAAATTCTTCTAATTTAATATCTTGAAAAGATTATTAACTTAAAAAAAAATTTTATTGTAAATTATATGAATATAAAATTTATTTTTACATTTTAAAATCTCTTATATTTCATTATATATATATATATATATTTTATTGCAAAATTGATTAGGTATATTATGATAGTTTCCTACATAACGAGTGTATATATGTCACATTTATTAATAGTTATCTAAATAAAGGTAGGCTAAATAAAAGTGTTATAAATTCATGCAAGATCAAAGAACAAGAAAGAAACTATAATTACTTTGACAAGTGTTTAGATATTAACAAATGTAACCAAATTGAATTTATATTCGAACGTCAAACAGATTATTTGGACTATTAAAAGTTGTAGTGACTTAAAAATTAAAAAATTGGTGAAAAAAAAAATCTTCAGTTTCATTTGCAGAACGTAAAGAAAAGATATATATCTCGTGAAATATATTTATCTTCATTGTTTCTTTGACATAAAAATTGACGACTTTTCCAAACTTATGTTCTTATCAATTTTTTTGTTCTTTTTGTTGTACAATTCCTTTGTCAATTTTCAATATTGATGGAGACACTAAACTTTGAAAATTCTTATACATTCAACATTTTTTGGATATTGGGTATTAGTATGTGTCGCTTAAATTATTAGTATCTCTATAGTGAAATTATAATTTTTATAATTTTCATTAGTAATATTTTTAGTAAAAAGACTAATGAAAATGATATTGACATTTTTTCAATTATTAGCTGATGACTTTTTCCAGCCGTTTCTATGTACAGCTTTCGGTTCTCTTTGAGAATCATTACAGTACCGTTACTTTGATGATGCCAGCCATTGACGTCCTTGCGAACTTTTTCCTTCTTTTTACAAATAACGAACCACGATCATGCGCTGTTATCGATTTTCATTTATTTCACATAAAATTGTACGAATTACAACTATATTCCTGTTGATATCAATCTATCAAATATTTATAGAACTTTATTACAACTATTTGGACTTAACATATTTCACATACATACACTTTAGAATTAAATTTCGCAAAATTTTTGTTGTGTTGAAGACAAGTTTTTTTCTATATATGATGTAGTGATTCTTGTGTAATACATATGTACATGAATTTTTTGTCGAATGATTTCATAGAACATATTTAAAGTAAAGAAAAAACAGTAAAGAAGAAAAAAAAATAAATAAATAAGAAAAATAAGAAGAATATTTCAGAGTATTTTGCAGTGATTCTCAAAGGGAATAATTTACGTCTGAACGAAAATGTTATTAATTTAAAGGTATATGTTACATATAATGAAGAAACGTAATATTAATTATGAAAGTAATAATAAGAAGAAATGAACGAAATCATTATTATTTCATATTAATTACTATTTCATAATAAATATTTTTAATTAATAATTACCATGGAAGAAATCGTAATTAATCATCCTAATTATTTCATTTTACATATAATTCACCCTCAACAAAATCAATTAAGTACATGTATTGTTTTCATTTTTATAAATGAAAGGCTTTATGAAGTTAATGTAATAATGAATTATTTTTTAAATTTATTAGAAAAATGTAGAAAAAGGAAATTGCGAAAAGTTTTACTCAGCTACATTAACAATCATACAGTCATATTAAAAATTTATCTGAAAACAAAATTAGATAAATTAGAGGTCCTTTTAAATGCAATATTTTGATATTTTCTTTAGGATGCAAGATAGATATGATAGAAATTAATTTAATTTTGAATGCCTCAAATAGAAGTTAGTCATGTGAATATATTTGTTGTTTATATAAATAATATAAGTGTAATTGACTATTATAAATATTTGAATAAAATTGGTGATCTGAGTCTTCTACGCTGCCATCATAAATCTTTTATCTATTCTCGATATATCTTATCAGTGACACATCACGAATTAAAGAACAAAGAAAACATATTATGAAATATCCCCTGAATTTAATCTTTGATGAACCTTGAAAATATTACTCAGTATTGAATTGAAATATTTTTCAGTATTCTTGCATTTAACGTAATGTCACAAAAATTTGTCAAAGAGAAAAGAACATTTGATAAATAAAGATTTAGGTGTAAGGTTTTGTTTTATTTATCTTTGATTTAACAAGTTAAATTCGATATATCGTTGATATCATGAATACTGCGCGTCTTTGATGAAATTCCAAAATTCGAATTCAAACAGTTCATTAAATATCAGTTTATATAAAACTCACTGAAATGCACTGGAAACAGAACGAACAGAAAGGTGAAGAAAGATAAAGGAACTGGGAAGAAGTAGAAGAAAGAAGAATGAAACAAATTATTATAAATTTGTGCTTAAGAATCGTTATATATATATGAATATGAATTAATAAAATAAGTAAATAATCAATAGTCAGACAAGAGTATAAAGCTATTATTATGTCTTTAATAATCTATTTGTAATTAATTAAAATTGAAGAAGAAAAAGGAATTTTAAAAAAGATGAAGAACGACAGCAATGCTCCTAATAAATTTTTATGGGTCTTGTTCTAGTACACAATGCGCTAGGGGTGATGGAGACAGTGAGCAAGCAAGTCCAAGTAGTGAGCGGACTGGGGGTGGGGGGTCCGGTGGGCCCTGTGGGTCCAGTGGGGGCAGATTTGCATCACCATCATCATCCTCACCCCCACTCTCATCCTCCACACCCACACGCCCACCCCCACGGTCATCCTCACGGGCCCCATGGCCACTCACTGGTCGGCGTAACGTCGACCCCTGGCAGGGGTCAGACACAACCACCGGTCTCGCATAACCAGCATTTACCCGCGAGATCTACTCCGGTACAGCTGCATAGGTAAGTTATATTCTTGCCTGTGTTCACCTATGCATATGTGTAAATGTATATATGTATATATCGTTATCGCGATCACATTACACTTGCACATGTAGAATGCGTGTGTAGTGTGTACAATATAATTAAGGTTACGCGCACGCGCTTAATCTCCCACAAAAAACGATTTAATTGTTAGTAAGTAATTAGTCGTGTGAAGAAATACTTCCGTAACGCAAATGCTACATACTATTGGGAAGAATTGAGCAATTCTGTTTTTTTGATTTCGTTATTTTCCAATTGTTTTCATTAAGCGTTAAGAATTCTGATAGTATAGTGTTTAATATGCGAGTACAATAATTGGACAATATTGTTTCCTTATGTGCCTAAGTGCACTGGTGTATTGTCATATCATATAAAATGTAACTTATCAAGATTTTATAGAGATAAAATTGTTAAATATAGATAATACGTTGAGTAGATAAAACATACATGTTCTTGTTAAAGTAAAAATTCGTTTCTATTAATTTATAACTTATATTAATTACAATAATATTATGTGCTACTATTCTTTTGCTATTGTTTATATTATTTTATAAAATATAAGTTTACGCTATTCGAGTTGGAACTATTTAATAATGATTAAATTTTGAAAATCAAGTAGAATTTAGAGAATATTAACAAATTTAAATTGAAAAAGAGTACTTTTTGTATAATTCTGTATAATAGTATAATTATTTAATTTGAATACGTTCAATTATTTAGTATATGTACATTACAATATATTATGTTTTCTGTGTCGAATATCAAAACTTGAAATACGCGGCAAACAGAACATTGAAGTTAGGTGCGCAACATACATTCAGTATATTGCGCATGCGTTCTCTGAATTTTACCACTACTGCTACCTGTCGATTCTAACCTCAAACGTCAACGTGCAACGTTGATTTTTAACCTTGCAAGGTTTACACTTACGATCTATAGTTTACCAAAATATATATATGAACGGTTGTGTAGTGTATTTTAACGTAATTATTAAAATAAAACCACAAATTTTGAAGTCGCGATGTACCAGATGTGTGAATGGAGAATGTACGCGGAGAGGAAAGATTTCTTTGAAACCCAAGATTATCTGTTTGCATGATGAAGTAAGTCCACACAATTATTTCCGTTGCTTTTGATCATTATTTCTCATATAAATACATTATTACAATATATTTTTTATATTTATACAGCTTGATTCTCTATCAGAGTATTGCATTTTTAACAATGGCATTAGGCATAAATGATTTCAATGTCTGAGACTGTATTGTAAGTTTTTTTTTGTAGAAAATTGTAAAATGTTCTGCTTATTAAATACATATAACTTTATTCTAGTGTAAATACTGAGACTTTCATGTTCTTTAATGCTATTAAAATTACTATTTAATTGTAAAAAATTTTATTAATTCGCGTATTAGGAATTTTACATATACAGTAGTTAGCAGTGGTTAGGTATAGAATATAAAATAAACAATATATAAAACGCGGGAAAATCAGTTAGGTTAGGTATGGTGTGAGGATTACACAAATGAAACAAATAGCACAAAAGAGCACAGTTTCTTTACACAAATTAATAAATACGTACTATGGATTACAAATACTAATAAACAAATCCAAAATTACTTTATTCAAATTTATTTTTGAAATAATGTTTGATTTTGATATTTCATTGAAACGTTTTATTTTATACGTAACGAGCTTGCATTTAAAACAACAAAGTCAAATTAGACAAATGGATTAAGCAAATTGGCAATTTTGTAATACTCTATTTCATCATAGATGGCTAATTTATATTTGAATTGTTGAAAAATGGCAATAGATGTAAGAACTATTGAACGAGGAAAGAGAAAGCCAACAGTAGGTCGCATGACGGGGAATAAAAGATGGCGGTGATGGTGGAAATACACCTTTTTTTATTTGTAAATAAGCCAAAAAAAGAGGAGGAAAAAATAGTATTAAAAGTTTAAAGCATTAATTTTATTAATTTTATTAACAAAATTTCCACTGACGCGTAGTATTAGCGTATATTAGTAAATATTTATACAAAAGTTACACGGATATTTTACCGACTAAGAAATGGGTACAAATTTATGTTCAAATATCGATAGTATTTTCGAGATTAAATAAGCGAGGAAAGAATCAGAGATATTAACGAAGGTGAGAAAGAAAAGTATAATTGGAAGAAGGGGCTCAAGGCTATGTTGATTTCTATTTCCTGCAATTCTCCTTTAAGAAAGAACAATAAAAGAATACATTTCTTAATAGTTATATCAGTGTTAACTGAATTGTTTAATAAAATTAATATATCTTAAATTTCGTATTGGAATGCATGATAAATATATAATATATGGAAAAATATATCGATATAAAAATACAATTAAAACATTTTTATATTGTTATTGTACATGTTATAGATTAATTAATCAAACTTTTTTATCGTTTTTTTTGTTGCCGTCGAATTTATTATTTACGGTGATATTACAACTGTGACGAAATTCATAAGGTAATATTGATAGTATTCGTTATCACAGGTGCAACTTCACGTTCTTTTTTTTTACAATTATTTTATGACAAGACTTTATAATATGAGAATGTGTGTAATTGATAAATATATAATTTCTACTTCATTCTGACATGATGTACGTACATATTACATATAACATTATATGATATGCTTTTTATACTATTTACGTATTTTGGAAATGTCCGCCATGTTTACATTCAAATTCTAACCTTTCGTATTATTTTTGTGGTTTATATATTATATCTCTTTTTTTAATTATTTTCACACAGTTGTTATTAATAATATAAACGTAAACGGTAATATTGAAAATATCATCATATGTTTTTATCAGTTGGTAAATTGTAAAGTATAAAAATACTAGGTTAACTCTATTATGGATTTCTTTGCATCACTTTTAAACTTAAGAAATTACTTGAAAAACATGATTCAATTGAAAACATACACAAATTTTGTACAGTTGTACCTATTATGTGTTATTTGTACCCAGAGGTGGTATTTTGTTTCTCACCTAACATAGATATTGAATTTATCAGCACTGAACTTGTATAGGTTCATATACTTATGTGTGCATGTCATGTTATCGTTCTCTTCGTGACCTACGTATGTACATAACGTTCTATCGCATGCGCATCATTCATAAAAGGGAAAAAGAGTAGGTGATACATGGGTGGGAGAAGATTTTAGAAGTGGGAGGAGGGGGTCAGTGACCGTTACATCATCGGGAACTCATAGTCTAGGAAAATTCATAAAATTAGCATTCAATTGCCGATTATAGATTCAAACGAAAGAAAAAAATAAAAATTCGAAATTAAAAAAAGAAATTCAAAATCAAATGATTTTTCAATATGAATAATATCGAGGTGGGATAATGGTCTGGTATAATACTTATTTTTGACATTAATTGTTTATTAGTGTAATATTCTACTACTTCAGTTTAATATGATATATTAATTTATGATAATTTTTCAGATATATGTATTTCTTGTGAATTACATATACATATATATCTATACATTTTTGAAAGCTTACACAGAAGATTCAATGTCACTAATGTGTTTACAAAGTTTTAAATACATACTAATAGTCAGGAGATAACATCATCGGTAATACAGAGGATACATACATACACACATACACATACTTTTTGGACATAAGATTGATTAGGCTATATATATACTAGATTGCATTACTGAAATTATTTATTTATATATAGAGAGAGATACTATGATATATTATACATACTTTCGTAAAAAATATAATCAATTTTACAGAATACTTCAGTTTACAGAATATTTCAATACTAAATAACAAATATCAATTTGTTAAAAATTTTCGGATACATTATTGAACACGTTCGTATAGCACGTAATTTTATTATGTATTATAGTAACCATTTACGCTTCTGAATTCTATCATATTAAATACATATATAAAGAAATAGAAAGAAATAGATATATTAATATCTTTCGTCATTGGAAGAGAAAGTAAGATTAGGAAAACTTATATATACCAAATAACATATGAAATAAATTGGATAATTTCGGAAGAAAAATGTTTATAAACGTGACATGAGGCTAACGTCGGTTAATCCTTCACCATTATCCGCCAACGAATAATGCTAGGAACGGCTTGCCAAGCCTCGAATGTATTCAGCGATACGGCAACGTCGCTTTATGAAAGCAGACAGGCACATTCACCCTTTGTGATGTCCAGCGCATGCGCAGTCATTCTACAGAGAATAGGTACCGATGCACCGGCACGCGGAATCATGATCTGTGGAATACTGCGACATCGCATATCTTTATACACTACGGCGCATGTGCGGCGTATTTTGCCACATGTGACGAACTAACGCCAAAAGGTCGTGTATCTACTATTCTGCCATACATACATACATACATACGTATATATGTACATATATACATATATATGTGGACGTCATGTAAAGCATATTTTTGCCGCGTGATGCGATTGGTTAATTGATCATCATTCGTCATCTTTTATATGCATTTATTTCTTGCGATTTAACTCTTTTTACAGACTTATTACATAGTTTTTCTTGTTACCTTTTATTTCTTTGGAAGATACTTTTTTGTCGAACATGTTAATGCAATTCTTGATTTTATGCGTATGCATGTGTATGTATAATATATAGAGATCTTGTATTTGTGAAAAATAGTTTGCTTGAATTAAATGAACATTGTTAAGATTGGACTGTTTGTATATAATAGGTAAAGTTAAACGTATTATATTTGGTTAGAAAATATTTTTGCATAAAGGTGTATTTAGTTTAGAAGATTGTTAGGTAATTTAGTTATCATTGGTACAATTTTCTGAGAAGAAAGAAATTGTTTCATCATAAAGATAAATAGGATAAAATCTTAGATACCATTTAATAGATAGTAGACACTTCATAAGTTGTCTCTTTTTATCTGTTGCTAATAATGACAAAGGTACGGTTACTGTAATATTAACAAGTTTTAAAAAAGAGTACTAAATTTTCAAATATTTTTGTCATTTTACTAAAATGGCTGCTTGTTTAGCAAGCTTTGCATAACGCATAAAACTATTTACTACTTACACTGTTTACTGCAATAGTGCATGATACATATATCGAGAAATATAATCTGAGGAAATCGTTACTGCTGTAAGGACGTGAAATGAGTAATACGATTTTCTTAATGGAAATGCAGAGTGTATCTATATACATGCGAGTGTATCTATCGTAAATAACCGCGTTGAAAATACAGTGTCATAAAAATGACTTTTGCAATTTTAGAACTTTTGTAAGATAAGATATTCCACAATCGTGTGAAATAGGAAATGTACCGAATACCAAAGATTTTGTCCACCACTAACAAAGTTCCCTTCAAAGCTTTTCAATTGTTCATTTTGCCCGTCGATATCTTAATCTAGCCTTGTAACTCAGTTTTCCGAATGTTTGCAGGCCGACGCAGAATTATGTCAACATCAAGAGCAGCAGCCCTGTGTCTCCAAGAACGATAGGAGCAGGAGTGACGTACGTGCAGGGTGGTGCGGCTGCATCTTCAGCAGCAGCAGCAGCAGCAGCAGCGGGAACAGCTGGAGGTGGAAGTGGTGGAGGTCCTTCAATCGGAGGAGGCGGTAGCGGTAGCGGCGGAGGTGGCGGTGGTATTAACACCGGTGGCGCGAACAGCGGAGCAGGAGTCGTTGGGGCTGGAGCTGGTGCTGGTCCGGTTGGGAACGTAGTACCAGCTGGAAATGGTAACAGCAACGGTACCAGTAACAGTGTCGGCGCGGGGAGTAATAGTGGCGGGAACAGCGGTACAGTGGGTGGTGCACCAGGAGGTTACGTCGCTGTGCCCATGGCGGGCAGCTTGCGATATATCCATCCGTATCAGTCGACGCCAACGTCGGCGTCGGTGCCGGCTGTAGCGACGATGGTCACCTCGGCCTCATCGGCACCGACTCCAGTACCAGTTCCAGCACCCGCAGCTGCACCTGCCAATCCACCTACAGTCAGTCAAACGCCACCACCATCGCTCTCGGGAACTGTTTATGCCGCGAGAGATGCATATCGCAGCGCCACCACCAATGTAGGTATTTTTCTCTTCGATTTATCTCACGATAAATCGGTCGCGCCCTCATCTGCTCATGCTCTGTTGCTTTCGTTTCAGATGAGAGACACAAACAGATTTTAATCTTTCTTTTTCATTTTAACTTTTCCACGGACGGGGAATTATTTTTTTTCCCGTCGATTATATGCAACAGACACGCGTGTACATTGTGTATAAACAGCCATGAAAAAGATTAAAATTTTAGTTTATATTAATTTAGCTACGTTCAGCATGAAAAGGTGGTGATTACAGTATCTCTACTTATAAGAAATGTAAACGTAAACAAATTGATTGATTATACTGAAACGAATATGACACAGCCTATTTAACGTACATACAGTCTGTCGCGCGAAGGCTTATGAATTTTTGTATCCGATTTTTATTGATTAAATTAAAGGTTGTTGAGACTAATTTCTTTGTAATAACTGAAATTAGAAAGGCGTATATGGCTGACTGATTGTAAATATGGTTGTTGTTGATAAACATTCGAAGTCATGTAATATGTTAGAATTGATCCAAACGCGGTTTGAATCCCGTTACGTGAAACGTGCGTATTTTATCACTGTTCTTGACTTTCGACCATTATTAGCTCTCCCTCTGTTTTTTTTTTGCCGTTCCGAACAATACAATCTTTATCACGAACGTTGTGCAGTTTTGAATTAATTTTGTCACGATATCGGAATTAAGGATTCTGATGAGATTATGTTTGATGGTTTTATCAGTATTTTTATTGTAAATATTGTATCATTTAATTTCAACAGCCTTTAAAATGTCAATCTAGCTTGAAATTTAATTGCTAATTATAGATGAGTGTAATTTTGATATAAAAGAAATTTCACTTTCCATTTTGGAATGTTTAAGATAACATAAACTTTGACAATGTAGATATATCATGTACAACAATAGATAAGTGAAAGTATATGGCTTTATATACTGATAATGTATGTAACAAGACATTTATATCCTCTGTATTTTATAATTTTTGCTATCATTTTTTTGTTTACTTTTGTTTACTTTTCACTGAAGAATAAGAAGAAAGAAATGTCGGAGAAATGTCTAATTTATTGAAAGTACAGTTTATTCGTTTATCTTAAGATAAACAAACAATACTCGAGCTACATAAGTAAAATCAGATAAATGACTGGCTTGGTAAGAAGTGATATATATGATAATACGTTATATGTTTGGATACCAGATTATGATCTTTAGACACAATATAAGCAGGACAACTAGTAGAGGACGTGTGAAAGAAAGATGAAGCGACTAGAAGCGAAGTCTAGTCATAATACGAGTGCAAGGAACGTATGACGGTGTTGTAGGTACATCGATGGTCTAGCGTCTGCCCTCTTGAACCGGGTCATCGATTTTCTTGAAATAAGTTTGCCGAGAAGGTTAGGCAAGATAAATTGAATAAAACGCGCGCGATGAAAAAAACATTAGGACGACATATGTAATAAAGAGATAAAGACAGAACGGAGCAGATAGAGGAAGCGAATAAAATGATAAATGACGAAGGGATACGAAAGAACGAACGAATATTTATTATGGTGTTTTTCAGGTGAACGAGAGGATCGCCATCAGCGTGAGCAGCAGTCCTCTGTCGCAGATAGGAGTCGGTGTCGGAGTAGTTGCAGCCGAATATGCGGCGAATAGCGGTATAGGTAGTGGTATGGCCGGTGGAAGAGGGGACAGACCGAGGATATCTCTTTTGCCACCTGCTTCGGTAACACCGACACCTTCACCGACAGCACCAGATTACCAGCACGTATCCAGTGCAAGAAATTCACGAATAGCCCTGATGCCCGTCCAGCCGGATCAGTATTGTAATCGTACGGCCGTTGAAATGGCCAATCTACAGGAGGCGCCACCTTTCAAGAAGATACGCCTCAGCCAGCCAACCCAGATTCAATTGCAGTCCCAATCGCAATCTCGCTGTCATAGTTTGTCACCCGCTGATCCGTGCGTTAAGCAGGAACATGTGGTGCAGTTGCAGCAACCGCTTAGGATAGACACTAGGGTGGGTATATAGGTATATGGGTGTACAGGATGATTTGGGAGAGATGTGAAAAATCTTGACATTTAATAAATCACTTTTGAGATAATTTTAAGGAACTTCGTACGAACTCGACGAACTTTATTGTCGATATAATTATTTAACTTGTTGAGAATCGCATTATATGCATTTGAACGATGCCTGTATCTTTTATAAGGATTTCTTATTTGTATTTTGTTATAACAGTTACAGATTCTATAGTTGCAATTGAATATACGGTATAATGATAAAAATATGTTTGTTACACGGCTAATATCGAATTTAGAAAGATTTCATGAGTTTTGTTATTACAATAAAGCTGTAAACTTGACATGGTATACTCAAGGAGTTAATCGATAATGTCAAGTATTTGTATCAGATATCTCAAGAAATATTTATTAAAAAGTTTCTACATTAAAGAAGATAATATCTTCTTTAGAAAAATAATTTGTCAAGGTTTTTTTATATTTTGTGCACATATTTATTCTTAAATGTTCATTTTACGATGTATTATATGAAAAATTTCTGCTAGGGGCAGCCGACAACAGAAGCGTATACGCCGCAAACTGAAGCGATATCACCTACGCTTCCGGAACCAAACACGCAAGAAGATGCGCAGTTCAGAAGCACTAAGGACGATCTTCTGCAACAAATCTCCAAGGTGGACAGAGAAATTGCAAAAAGGGAGTCTCAGATAAATAAGCTTCGGAAAAAGTTAAAGGAATTGGAGGAGACGGCTAATAAACCTCTAGAAGCTAGCGGTCTCAAACGACAAGTTGAGGAACAATCTCAGCAACCAAAGCATCAATCTCTGGCACAAAAAATATATGCTGAAAATAGGGTAAGATATTAATGTAAATTGATTATATTTCATTATATACTTATCTTATATCGTATGTTAATAATATAGATTTTATATTGTCAAATCAATCTACTAATTGGAAAGGATAAAACGAGAATGATTCATATGTTTCTTACTATCTTCCGTATTAGCAAAATAATAATAAATAATAACCCAACTAAATAGAATACATTTTTTTTTTTAAGTAAGAAATAACAGTTTCATTACTTAAATGGGATTGTACGTTAATTACAGAGAAAGGCAGAAGAAGCTCATAGACTTCTAGAGAGGCTGGGTCCTAAAGTGGAACTACCTTTGTACAATCAGCCATCAGATACAAGTGTGTATCAAGAAAATCGAACAAAACATCAAACGTGTATGAGAGCAAGACTTATAGCGAGGCTTCGACGAGAACACGCTGAACGCGCATCCCTTCATCGACAACAGTCACAAACGTACGCTATTTTGGTACAGGAATGGCATCGTAAAGTAGAGCGATTGGAAGCGACGCAGAAAAGAAAGTCGAAAGAAGCGAAGAATCGCGAATTCTTCGAGAAAGTGTTTCCAGAATTGCGGAAACAAAGGGAAGACAAAGAGCGTTTTAATAGAGTCGGTGCTCGTATCAAGAGTGAAGCTGATTTAGAAGAAATTATGGACGGCCTTCAAGAACAAGAGGTATGTTGTCACTTCAACACTAAGAAAAGGAAAGCATCTTCTTCAAGTGGAAAAATTCATAGGGATTATTACAAAAATTGAAGGAATTGTTAGAAGATTGTTATTTTGTTAGAATATCTGATTATTACAAATCGTATTTATCAATTTGAGTTTTATGTATGTTTATTCTAATTATATTCCTGACAGTATCAAAGTTTAGATTTAAAAAATAATTTATCATTCCAAATTTCTCTGAAGATTTTAGATTTTAAATAACATCACTGTAAATAGTAGTGTTATGATAAAGATACTATCATGGTCTTTTTATACTTTTGTCTTTTATCACACTTTAGTCTATTAGAACTTCCATGATATATTTCTTGTTTGAAAAGTTGAATACATAACAATTATTTCTAAAATTATTTTTACAGATGGAAGATAAAAAGATGCGTTCGTATGCAGTAATACCTCCATTGTTATTGGATACAAAGCAAAGACGAATCGCATTTCAGAATCGAAATGGTCTTCTTCAGCCTGAAGAATTAGAAGCGCTTCACAGTGAACGAAAGTTAATCAACGTATGGAGTTCTGTGGAGCATGAATTGTTTAAAGAAAAATATTTACAACATCCTAAAAACTTTGGAACGATAGCTCAATCTTTAGAACATAAGTCCGTTCCAGATTGTGTACATCATTACTACCTCACTAAAAAAGCAGAAAATTATAAGCAGCTCTTGAGAAAGTCGCGGCAACGAACACGTAGTTCTCGAAATAATCCTAATAATAAAGTAAGTTTAATTACAATCACGTCCAAATTTAAAGCTAAATTTAAAGTATATAATTATTTCTTGAAAAGATTGAAGTTTTTATATTAAAATTCCATTTTAAAATTTACTTGCATAAGAGATAAAACATATTACCAATTTATTTTAAGCATATTCCTATTATAAAAGCATAGCACTTAAACTTGTATGTAAATATCTTTTTTAAATTTGTGGATACTAAATATACATACGCTTTATATTTTCTAATACGCTCTTTAATCAATTAATATATAATAATGCTAATTTTGTAACAGCTTGTTAACTCTTTTAATTGTTTTCTCAGGTAAATAATACCAGTTCAAATATTGGAACTTTAGACATTTTAACTACGGGTGTTACGACAAGGTTGCAACGTGAGCAACAGCAAAAAACACAAGAGAATCCTCAAAATAGTTCGACAGCGACATCAACTACAACGACGACGACGACTACGACTACGTCAAGTGTATCAACGGCTGGTGCAACAACAATAGTGACCACTTCGACAACTCCTTTAAGTTCATCAACGTCGAGTATATGTTTAACAACGGACTCTGTAATAGCATCAACGACTGTTACAACGACATCAGGGTTGAGCACCATAACATCATCTGTCACAACGTCGTCGACAACAAACGTGAAAGATAACAGGGAAATCAATAAGGAAAACAAAGAAAGTAAAATGGAGTCGAAAGAGACGCACCTTATCAAAGTGGAAGTGAAAGAAGAGCCGCAATTAAGTTCCGAAACGGTGTCAGGAAAGGACGTCAAAGTAATGTACGTAATATCATCTACTACATAAATTTTTTACAATAACGACACACAAATTTAACACATTTAAACTTACATGTGCGATCTATATTTACTGTGAGTACTTCTTCCTGCCTATAAAACATTTGATTCATTGCCGGAATTTCGATGCAATCGATATTTTAGTCGCAAATGTATACAAATGAATCGTTTACCATGCTAAATAACTACTTCTGTTTCTATTTTGATTACGTTTGGGTACTATGAAGCTTAAAATAGAATTTCTAAATAATTGACTGAATGTATTTTAATAATATAAATATAATGTCAGTCAAAAAAAAATAATTTCATTAGTATCTTTAAAACTTTTGTGAACAGAATGTTTAAAAGGAATTATATATTTTTTCCATAAATCTTTGGATCAAACTTGTGTATTTTGACTTGTACCTTTTAGAGGGTTAGTAATAATTTACAGCAGTGTATAGATTATTTTATAAATGTTTTAAACTTATGTGATGTATGAAGGTAATTTTCCGGAAATATGTGTTACATACATCTTTTTATTTATAAAAAAGCATAGTATGTTGATTATTTGTTTGTTGAAATTGTATTATTTGTTCCAAGAAGCTTGTGGTAAGAGTATTATTATCATAATATATTAAAAGCAAATCTTCTTATAGTCTTAATTGTAAAGTCTGAAAATATCACATGAATTTCAATCTTAATTATTCGTCGTCTTTCCTCATCAGAAAACATTTATACTATTGTCGATTTTGTTATTATTTTTGGTAAATTTAATAATGTATAGATACTTGTATGCACTTTTTTGTCTTGGGATGTTAAAACTATGAATTTTCGAATTCAGTAAATACATTGGAAGTTTCCGTCAACTGCAAAATTTTTAGTTAAAGGATAGGACACAATTTTATGAATTTGCAAGATTTAAAAATCTTTAATTTCTTCGCCAAGCTGGTGAATTTGTAAATGTAATCCTACATTTGGGTGTCAGTTTACTACAAAATTTTCTATTATCGAAAAACTTTTTAAACTTTGAATTTTTATAATTTCAACAAAATGATCTGTGATATGTGATAAAATATCAATACCCAGAGGCAATGCAATCTTCTCTTTCCAAATCATTTTTCTCCTTATAATTTTCATTCTTCGTTCGTCAATTTTTTTTTTTTTTTTTTTTTACAAACAAAATTTCTAAAGATAGAGATTAATTTAATGCCAACGACCAATGGAAATTGCGACAATTACAGTTGTCGGGGGAAATGGAAAAGAAAGAGATTGAAAAAAAAATACAAACAAATCGTTAAAGCGCAGGATGAAAGATAAAGGGGGAGGGGGGGATTGAATCGAGGATAGATAGGGGGAAATAGAAGGTGGTGGTAAAATGAAGGTTTGAGAGGCAAGGTAGGGTAGTTATTAGCAGATTGTAATGCTAATCAATGGTTAGTGGATTATGTTTACGTAGGCATTCATCATCGAAATGGAGTCGATCGTTGAAAATCTGATTCTGAACCGCCTGAAGACCAGAGTGTTTACTCCCCTCGTTCGTTTAGAAATGATGTACAGAGTGTTTTATTAATTCTGCAGCAGTTGTACTCGTACCGGCAAATATTTTTGTTTCATTCTCTCTTCGTTTTATTGAACTTGTGGAATTTTTCAAATTAATGTACAGTATTATTATTACAACGTAAAAAAGGAATAATCTTTTAATTCTTGAACACTGTTTAATTAAATATAATTATTAATATTAATTATTAATTATTAATATTAACACTTGAATACTGTTTAATTCTTGAACGACCGAGACTGTTGATCCAATTCATACAGATGTTCCATTTTAAATTACATCCACACGAACAAATTATTTTTACCTTTCAAGTAAATTTAATCGTTAATTTGCCTCTTTGATTGATTTCTCGCTTTATCGGTATGAAATAAGATATACACATGACACAACATACGTGTAGCATTCAATACAACAACGAGTGCAAATAAAGAAATTTAACGTTAAAATCTTTAATGATTGAATGAGAATGTTGTTTTGGAAAATTGTCGAGGATGATTTCACTGAATTAATAATTAACAGACTTCTTGGTCTGTTGTTACAAAATTGAGGAGAGGTGAGCATGTCGTTTGATTTGGAAGATGTTCATAGGAAGGAATCGTGTTGCAGGGAGGCAAGCAACGGCGGTGGTGGAAGCGTGGTGACGAGCAGGATAAAGGAGAAGAAAAAAGATAACCACGCCACCCCCATGGAAACCAGCGACGAGGAAGCTCAGTCGATGGATACCATTGGTAAGTTACCTTAAATAAATTATACTAGCGTTTGCTTTTGTCAATCTTTTACCACATACCGGAACAATTGTATCACAAGCGCCTGAATAATCTGGCGTGATTTTATTTTTGTATGTATTTGATAAAAATTTTTATCCTTTTTTCTTCGTCTTTTTATTTTTCTTTTTTTTATTTTTATTTTTTTTTTTATTTTTTAGAACTTTTCGTTCGCAAAGAACCGTGCATTTCGTTTGCACTTCTTTTCGTCGGTAAGGATACGGAGAATATTTCCCTTTTATTCTCATTTCGCAGAGAAAGAATTTTTTTTTGCTCGATCTGATTTTAGAATCCGTTTGTCTTTATTGCATTCTTATTGATATGCTGTGGAAAAAAAAAAAAAGAACTTTGAATTAATTTTCTGCAATTTTCATCGTAGAAAACTTGCACGACGCGTGTGATTTTTATTTCTCTTGGAAAGTTCGACGAATTTCGTGAATTTCCGATTCTAATGATTATGTTGGTTTAATTTATCTTATAAACATAGGGGGGAGGGAATTCTGCCGAATAGAACGATTTTTGAAGTTTTAAAAACGATTGAAAACGGGGGATGAAGACTTGGCAATAGATTTCAATTGAATGAATGCCAAATAATTGATTAAAACTACTTGAATTTCTATGTTAAAGAATTTGTATGCACACGTATACCCTTTCTTTCTTCATTTTTTTTAGTAGTAAATCCAATGGATGTTTTTAATAGTAAATTCTAAAAACTATTAATTATACAACGTGGGAAGTTAGACTCTGTTGCAGTGTACATAATGCAATGGATCGCTATTTATAATGTTGACAATGAGTGAATAATAATTCTTCAATTTTACTTTAATATCTCAGTAGTTTTATTAGTCTCGATATAATTCGTAAACTAAAATAATTGAACGTTCAATGCTAGTAATTTACTTCTACCTCAATTATCGATTGCTTTCTTATCTTCGAACTTTATTCGTCGCATATACTGAAAGAAATACTATAAACAATCTCTTATATTATTTTTTCACATATTATTATTATTGTTGTTGTTGTTCTTATTATTATTATTATTATTATTACAACATATGTTACATATGTTTGTAGGTACAGCATAATGTAATTATACAGTAAATATTGCTTATAATATTTGATAATAAAACTTAACACGTCAACAATTGATAATTTCCAAATGAAAAAAGGATTCTGACAGAGGGAGACCGATTAATAGAAAAGCTACTTCACACACGATTGTTAAAGACGTTAAACCACCGATGAATTTACTCGAATTATCATCTATCATTATTAACCGCGTTACATTTTACAATATTTATCTAATAGAACGCCGACTGTTAATAACGTCATTCTAAGCTTTACTCCTACTTTTTCTGTTCACTTGTTATTCCCACTTGTTTAACGTCGTGTTTTCAAACTGTACTATTCAAACGAAATGCCGATAGCTAACGCGTCAGCGTCATCCATTCGTTTGGCTTTTCATTACTGAATTCACGTCTGATCTCTATAAAACGCAACTAGCCAGCCAAATCGCTTGATATGTTAATCGCCGTCCGTCTCCGTTCAGCTTCATCGAAAGTAAATATTTATATACTCTTCTTTCTCCGTTCTCGTCTTCTGAAAAACAAATTCGGCCGAATCGATGACGAATCTATCGAGATATCTTCGCTCGATGATATCGTCAGTTATCTATCTCTCGCACGGCTATCTACCTCGATGAGACGTTCACTTTTTCTCGTTGTTGGTCGTCGAGGTGGTCGATTCTTGATCCTCGTTGGCCGTGCTATTGGCTTCGTCGGATTGCGTCCTCTCCTCGGTGGCATTCGCGTGGCACAGTTTCCTGTGCTTGTGGACGAAATAATAGCTGGGGAACTTGCATCCGCAGATCTTGCACGGATAATACTGAACGTTCAGGTCCAACAGCCTGACCTCCCTCCTGCTTCGTGCGGTGTCCTGCCTCTGCCGGTTGCCGATCGAGTCGGCGGCCCTCGTCGGCAGCAGATGCCTCTTGGTGTGCTTTCTGTAACAGTACTGCGACTTGAACGTGTGCCTGCAGTAGCCGCAGGTGTAGCTGCCGTTGCTGTTGTCCGTGTCCATCCCCGACTCGATCTGGTCGCACCGAGTCGGAGCTCGGACAGCCACCGTCGGCCCGCCGTTCTCGTCGTTCTCGCCGGATGTGAGATCCTCCGGCTCGAAACAGGGCCTCTGCACACGCGACTGTGCCGCCGCGGTACCACCGGACGCGCAAGACGCTGTCGACGACGAGTAATTCTCGTTCAACACCCGGTGAAACTTCACCGGGCCGTCGCAACAGGCTATGTCGTACACCACCGACAGAACGTTCGAGGAACTGTCGTTGCTGTTCCCGCTAGTGTTTTGACCGCGTCCTCTTCGCCTGCAGGATCTTCCGCGATCGTTCTCGCCGATCGACGTCGACTCGATCACGTCGATCCTCTCGTGATTCCTGTTCGTCGTGATCCCGTCATCGGCCACAGGTGTCAATGGCGACGACCGTGTTTCCCCTCCTTGGTTGTTGCCCGAGCGTGGCCGTTCGTACTCGCGTTCTTCCTTAGAGGACTGACGCCGTTGCTGTTGTTCCATCAGCGGTTGTTTCTTGCTTTGGCACGTCGACTGAGGCACCGGCGATTGAGAGGCGACGGAGGACGAGGCGGGCGAAATCGACCGACATGGTGACGACGTTCTCGTCGACGCGGCGACGTTCGACGCGGTGAACGCGGTGAACGCGGCTGTCGCTGCGGCCACGAAGGGGAGAGAACTGGAGGACACGTTCTCCGGCGACTGTGGCCTAGCCTCCACTCTCAGGCCCCGGCTCCGCTCGATTTGGAACAGCGACGACTTCGGCGATGAGACTTCTCTGTTCAACAGACATCACGGACGTTAGGAAACAAGCTTGGCGATGTATCTTGCTATTCTCCTCTGTCGGCCACTCTGTTGGCTTTAGAGTATATCGTAGTTGGGGGAAAATTTTTATTTAATTTCAATGGAGAAATTAAGGAATCACGATGTCTAAATCGACGTGTAAATACGACTACAACTTTTTTGGTCGATTGCTCCTCCCTCTAAACGTAAATGCGACTTTCGACCAAAATAAACCTACTTCAATGTGCAACGCAAAAAAAAAAGAAAAAAAAGAAA